TTCATGACTGATCACTGAGATTGAGTGCAATGTTTATAAGAGAAAGATGCTTCTGACTAAATCTGCTCTTCTAAGTCATGCAGAGAAGGCTCATGAAACTGTTATACAGAGTCATGCTTAGAAGAAGCTGATGTTGAAATATCAACAGAGTCTAGAGAACTAGTTTTATATAATAAAGATATATATATATAATAAAAGAAGTTACAGTTCTCACAAATCATATTCATTCTCACTCTTACTCAAATGCATGTTATATCAAAACACTGTGATTCAAAGGTTGCTTAAGTCAGCATATGATTACAGGCGTACGCTGGCTTCTTATATACTGTATGCTAAATTAATTGATGACCGCTATGACTTCTTTACATTTGTAAGCAAGTTCAGAAGTGACTGTGTTATTATCTGACAGTTATACATTCTTCTGAATCACATTCTCTCTCACCAGATTCAGTCACACTCACGTGACATAATCATGTTGTACATTCTAGCTTTATGCGGATTAGCTCATCACTAGTGTTTCGTGATTGTATGATCTATTTCTGATTTAGCTAGTATTCTGCATACACTCTTATAAAGAAACTTTTACTATATTACATCTCTCATTCACTAACTTTTCTCATTCTTCAATCATCTTCTTTATTATTGTCATCATTGAACATCATTATCTTATTCAAGATTTCTGCCTCTTCTTCTATTTAACATCTTCTATCTGTTATTCATCTATCACATTGTACACATTTCTGATAATGATCTCTCATTTTCATAACAAGTGTTCTTGTAGTACTTATACTGAGCAGTTCATTAGCAGTAAGTATAACATATTATGAAACATGATCAGGACTTGTTTATCTTCTAATAATTATCAGAATATATTATCATAAATGACATATCTTCTTCATCTTCTTATACACTTTTAACTGTTTTTCTTCTCAGTGAGCTTCTGATCATGTTTTCTGACATGATTTTATATAAACACAGATGCTGATGTTTATTTTCATTTATATAGAATCTTCACATGTTGACAGATCTGCATCTGCTGATGATAGTGAATGTCTCAATGTTGAATTATTAGTTGAAAACTTGAAGAATATGATAATGAAGAAATTGCCTGTGTTATATGTGACTGAGTCTCCTACATTTCTCTCTGCCTCTTTCTCTGTCACTTCTCTTCAATCTCTCACACCTGTCTCTGTGTCTGGTTCTCCCGCTCCCACTACCTCTGTTCCTGCGACCTCTACTCCCGCTACTTCTGCTTCTGTCACTGCCTTCATTACTAGCTCTCTCTGTTTCAAGAAGATATTGTATAGACTTGATGAACTATGTTTCTCAGTGTGTACACTTCTGTTCTTCTTGCTGATCTCTAGAATGATCTATTACATGAAGACTGTGTATAACATAACTATTTGAAGCTCAGTCACAGACACTGATTATTACATTCATTTCAAATATTTATAATAAGACAATTGTTTATTCATACTGAAGAATCATCTCTCTCTTCAACAGTATTAAGATTGTAAGTCTTTTCTTTTTTCTCTTCTCTTCTAATACTGATTATTCTAGGGAAAATTGTTATGAGTTTTATTATGCACAAAGTCATAGCATTCATGAATATCAGAGAACTTTTTATAACTGTTAAATTCAATATTATGAGTATATCTACTCTGATGAATATCTTCAGAATAATCAATCTGTATCAGTCTATTCTCTAATGTTTGTCATTCAGCTTTGTAATGCAGATGAAGAATATCTGTGTTTTCAGAAACAGAAACACAGATATTATACTCTTTTACACCTGTGAGTGTGAGACTTGTATGTCTTGTCTGAGATGTTGTTATGAGAATGAGCTATTCACACACTGCATTCTGCTTTCTGCATTTCTCTGTGTCTCTCTCTCTCTTTTTGAGAAGTCTTGTATGTGTTGTAATTGCATGTACAATTCTAGAACTAGCAGATTTTTATTTAATAATTGTTACCTCTGCTGTTGTGATTTTGTATACTAATAATAGTTCTTAGTTACTTCAGTGTCAGAGATTATTCTAATCAAAGATAATCACATCACTGAGACTATTCTCTTTCATTTTCAGACTTCTTCTCTTACTTTCTCTCTCTTCTCTGCAGAGAAGATTGTGCACACACTGAGTTATAAGTATTCAGTCTCAGATAACTTCTGCTGTCATTTATTCAGTTCTGTATCTTCTTCTTCTTCTGTTTCTTTCATCTCTGTCTCTTCTGTCTTGACTTTTGATTCTGTGAATTCTGTGCTCTTCTTCAATTTTTCTACACATATACATACACATTTCTATATTGGCATTCCAGCCAATCTTGTGATAAATGATATTAATGTTGTACACAGAGTGGTAGAGGAATTGAAGATGTATGTAATGTTATTGTAAGAGCAGCTTACAGCTCTTGAATTTCTTACAGATTTCAAGTTTTGAGATTTTCTTTATTTTTAATGTTTTTCAGTTGATGTAATGTTAGAAATAGATTAAATATGTGATGTATGAAAATGAATAAGATGTATATAATAATATTTGTCTTTTGCAGCTGATTCTTACAGTTGATAATCAATTCATTATCTCTTTTCTTTTCTTATACTTTTTCTTTGTCTACTAGTCACTACTCTTACACAACCTCTATATGATACAGTGTTCAGTGACTAGATTCAGCAGCTTTCATCTTTTATAATTCTGTCTCATGCATTATACTGTCTCTCTTCACCTGCTTAGATTACTACAGTGAACAGCTCATTGAAACTAATCTCATCTGATCTCTGAACATTCTCAGAAGTTAAGATGACTTGATCTCATGCATCTGCAGATGTTTCAGATAATTCATTCTCTGTTATCTCTGCAATTGAACTGATGTAAACAGTCAAATTCAACTCTGAATTTCTTTTTCTTCTGTGATCTGACTCATGTACAAGTCTGCTGCTTTGAAACTACTCTTTACTGTGTTGCACTTGCTATCTGCAGCATATTATCATACAACTGACTACAGTCTTATCACTTATTGAAGTGTAATATTCATCTGATTTCTTCATTTCTTTTCATTCTTTTCTTATAATCATGAAAAGATCAGAATAAGTGAGACTGTCTGATTTGTAAGCATCTATGATTTCTCTTACTTCATAAGACTTTTCAATTATAAGTCTCTTCTTTTTCAATGCTGATAATAGTGCTGTGAATAACTATAATCTGCTCAGGTCTTACATCTTTACTTTCATATAATATGAATTATTTATTAAGTTGTGTAAGACTGATCTCTCTGATTCTTTTAATGTGTATGTTCTCAGAGAATATAATTTAAGTATTTTATATAACTCAAATCATCTAGATTGAAACTTCTCAGAACTCTCATTGTGTATGAGAACTTATATTCTTATCTTAAGACTTGATTTCTTAACTAGTGAGTCTCATATTCTTTTTGATTGAATTGCTCGGTTCAGAAGTAACTTGTTAGCTTTTATATGTGTATAACTGATCTCTTTCAATCTTGATTCTGTGTCTGCAACTACTGTGTCTGTGACTGTTATGTCTGTAACTGATGTATTCACAACTGCTATTCTCTTTCTCACTTTTTCTGAAGCATTCTTTGAGATGCGCGGATGCAATTCATACAACAGATAGAATAATAAATGCTTGAAGACTGCATACTGCTGAATTTATGTGACTAACAGTGCCTGACTGAGATATATCTTATAGACTTGCTCACTAGATATTTCATCAGTATATTATATAAGATTTCATTCAAGTATTTCACTTTTCTGTTCATCTGTGAATAATATGATGTTGTTCTACAATGTCTTGTCTGTAACTGGCTTATGAAATGTCTCACTGCTTCTTCTACAAGATTTGCACTGTTATTAGTTAGAATCTCACACAGTATTTCATAGTTGATATAGATCTCATTGTAATGTGACGGAACTGAAGCAGTGGCTAGTCAGCGGCGTCACATAGAGGTAGTTGTTGAGAAGCCGTATGAGTGAGCTTGACTATCTTGCTTAAATAGCGAGCTTGTAGGCTACAGAGTTATTGCAAGAATATTACAGATATAGCACTTAGTATACTAAGAAGATTGTATGAGAAATACAGTAACTCTTATATATATTTCAGTCAGAGAAAAACAAATTACTGACTTCTTTGATAAGAAGCCAGCATCTAGCTATTCTATATAGACAATGAGTGAATACTCTTGTCTTATTTCATAAGTGAGAATAGCTGAAGTGATACCTCAGTGATGTCTTACTATTAAGAAAGAGTAATCTGCTGACCTTGTATAGAAGCAGAATTCTTATATTCATTAATCAGATCTTTCTATAATATATCTGAATGATGTCATAGAGTGGTTGAAAACTGGTTTAAACAGCCTGCAGAATAAATGAAATCATTCACATGAAAGTGATAAGCTGTGTAAAACTATAACAGAGTCTTGATACAGCTGAGAGTGTGATAATACTCTTCTCTTTAAAAGCATAGTTCTGATGCTCTTAAGATTACTGAATTAGAAGTTATCTTTGTTATATAGCAACAGTTATTAATTATTTAACAGTGTATATGCTGTGTGTGATATAAAGAAATAGATGAGTTTTTCAGCTGACTGCATAGATCTTTCTTTTCTTATCTTCATTCAAATCAAACACACGATAAGTGAGTTCCTTATATATCAATTTGAAATGTGAAAAATATAGTTAATAAGTGACTTATAGATCTCTCATCATATTTCATTCTATATATGAAATTCTCTGCAAAAGTGATGTGTTTTAGAGACAAAGCTAACAGTAGTGACAGGATTTTTGAAAAAGATCTCTCTCTCTTATGATATATTTTTCTTTCTCTCTTCTCAATTGCAATAGTGAGTGTATGAGAGTATCATTCTTGAAAGATAATAAAGAGCTCATTCTGACATTTTCTAGTGAATAAATATCTTCATGATGTAGCTGCAGTCTCTGTGACTGTCAAGAAAGCTCAGTTAGAGACAGAGACAGTGATGTCAATGAGTCACAGAAGCACTGCTTTCATTGTCACATCTTCTTCTCCTGCATCTCTTACAGCTGCAGCAGTAGTAGTCATATCTTGCAGTGAGATATTATTTCTTCTGCTGATCAGCTCATCTGCACTCAGTTCATTTTCTACTTTCTCTACTGCTGTTGCAACTAGACTGACCGTGTGACTGTGTCTGAGATCAGAATCAAACTTTACAGTTGTCACATTGCCTAAAAGCATTACTTCTGGTCATGATTTATGTTCATCACATTGATCTCAAATCACATTATTTCAAATATTAAAGGCTTCAGATTCACTTTTCAAATAAAAATCTAGTCTTAGATAAAGAATGTGTTTGAATTCTTAGTTACATTTTCATTCTGATCTCATTATTGAGAATGACATTAAATGAGATTATGAAATCACTTCTCACCTATATAATATCATAACATAGTGCTCATTTGTTGAAAATTCAACAGAGAGTATTATTAAATATCATTACTTTTCTGAACACAGATTATAATTCATATAATTTTAATTATGAAAAAAATATAAAATACAAAAAAAAAATAAAAAACAAAAAACAAAACAAAAACAAGAAAAAATCAGAATGAAAAAAAAAAAAAAAAAGAGAAAGAAAAAAAAAAAAACAAAAACAAAAAAAATCAAGATCACAGAGCTGTAGTATTCTTAAAATACTCACTCTTCAGAGTCTTCACAATGTTCATTATCAACTGTGTATTTCTCACAGTGAGAATAACACAGCTGTGATAAGTTATTATCTTAATATCATCTAATAAATAATCAGTATATATCTGTATAAATGTGAATATTTAGAAAATATACACTTAAAAAGTGTGGCCAGGGTGAACTCTGCTGTCACTTGAATGACATCAAGAGTAGAATATTGAAATTGATGATTTCTCTCATCAATTTCACAGATAGACATATAAAGATGATCTTGAGAAATATAGATTCTCTGACTTCTGATAAAACAGATCTCACAGAGAGACTCTATTTCATAATATCAGAGACTGAGTGTATCCAAAAGCATACTTCATA